TATAACTTACATGGTTGCTCATGCAAGGCTCCATTTTTGTTGCCTTCAACTTTGGCTAGCTTCCATCTAATCTCACAGGAAGCAGGACATATGTGGATAGGTGTCCCCATCTGACGATGTCATAACATCTCTGAAGTGGTGGCCTCAACTAATCCATCAAGACCAACTCACCACACAGATAACTACCGATGCCTCCCTCATGACATGGGGAGCTCATATGGGAGATATGGTTCAAGATCTATGGATGACCAAGGAATCTACCTTGCACATCAACTTACTAGAACTCAGGGCAGTTGCAAATGCATGCAAACATTTCCTGCCGCACATCCAAAGAACCACAGTAAGGATACTTACCGACAACATCGCCACAATGTATTCTATAAACCGTCAAGGGGGCTTCCTGTGCACCGAGGCGACTGGACTGTGGAACTGGTGCATCTGCAATGTGGTTACACTAACAGCTTCCTACTTACCAGGAGCCAATTATGTGTTAGCGGACTCGCTCAGCATTCATTTTGCACCAGACTACAAATGGGAGATCCATCCACACATCCTCCAAGCGATTTTGATCATTGGGGTCACCCACATATAGATCTCTTTGCCTCATATAAGAATGCAAAATGCCAGCATTATTGTTCCAGAGTTGGCATAGGTCAAGGATCTCTAGGGGATGCCTTTCTCCTCCACTGGGGGTGGGGGGATGGCTCCTCTTAAATGCTTTTCCTCGTACCCATTCATCTGCAGGTTCTCAAGAAGATCAACAGAGATGGCGCAGCAGTGATTCTCATAGCCCCATTCTGGGCACAGCAAACATGGTTCCCTTATCTTTATCGGATGCCTCCTCATTCACCTTATCACCTTCCCACGTATCCCAATCTCTTACCTCAGCACAGTGGGATTCTAATTCATCCTCAACCCCACATGCTATGGTTGACAGCCTGGCTTATAACTGGTTCCAAGAACATGAACTCCAATGTTAAGAGGAAGTGAGAAATGTTTTATTATAGTAGAAAGCTGTCCACTCAATCCACTTACCCGCAGAAGTGGTGCAGATTCTTATCTTGGTGCACGATTAGGAAGCTGGATCAACATACTGACCTTTTGCATGCTTCTTGGACTACATCCTACAATTAAAAGAAACAGGGTTAGCTCTAGCATCTTTGAAAGTACATGTAGCAGCTATCACCGCATTCCACACCTCAGTGGACAATTCTTCGGTATTTGCACATCCTACTACACATAGGTTCCTGAAGGATCTCTCCAGCTTATATCCTCCGCAAAGGTTACTACAACCTGCGTAGAACTTGGAGCTAGTTTTGGACACTCTAGCCCATGCTCCCTTTGAGCCGATGACAACTGTTCCACTTACAATGATGATACTTAAAGTTACATTTCTGCTAGCTATTACTTCTGCTCGCAGAGCTGGAGAGATACCAGCCTTGATGGTGGTTCCACCATACACAATCTTCAGCAACGATAAAGTCACGTTACGTCCACACCCATCCTTTCTTCCAAAGGCCTGCTCAGACTTCCATATAAATGAGCCAGTCGTACTCCCATCTTTCTACCCCAAGCCACACAGGAGCGTTCATGAGACCATGCTTCATTCACTAGATGTGAGAAGATCGCTTGCATTCTATTTTGAAAAGAACTCAGAACTGCTAATTTCACTACCAGAACATAGTAAAGGTCAACCTATCTCATTGCAATGAGTTTCAAACCTTATTATCTGCATTAAAAAGTGCTATGCTATATGCAACGAACCATTACCAGACAGCCCATTCTACCAGGGTTGTAGCAAACCTCTACAGTTTTCCTTACTGGGGTTCCTCTAAAAGATACTTGTAGTGCAGCAATGTGATCCACTAATACTTTCATGAAGCATTATGCAATTTCTCAAACTATCCACTAACACCGCTGTAAAAGCTGCAGTGCTTTTGACTGTGAATAAGCAGTGACTCCGTTACCTGCTGTCCTTATATTAGATGACTGTGTAGCAGTACTCTACAGTGGAGCACCCATGAGGATGCTACTTAAAGAAGAGGAAGTTACCTTGGTGGAGTAACAATGGTTCTTCGAGATGTGTGTCCCCGTGAATGCTCCACTACCTGCCTTTTCCCCACTTCGGAGTCTCTTGTTATATCTTTAAGACACCGGAGCGGACTCGAGTAATTGACGGGAGCCGGACCAAGTGAGATCAAAAGGCACGAATGGTGTGAGGTGCATGCCGTGCATGCACGGTCCGGCTGACCACTGCTCGTGAAAACTCCGATCTGCGGCACCAGGATGACCTGACACCTACAATGGAGCACCCACTGGGGAACGCATCTCGAAGAGCCATCATTACTGCACCACAATGAGTAATTTCCTCTTCCCAGAACTGGTACACCATGCTAATATCGCTATCAGTGGAGGATCTCCTTGACCTCCGTCTTGTCCCGGACCTATTGACACAAGAGCTCAACTAGGGCCTTGTGTAACACCTGAATCCGCAGTCTCTCCATCTCATGGCTGTGAGGCAGGGAGCTCCTCTGCTTTGACCCAGTAAGACCTATCGGGGCAAGTGGAGGAAGTTTTCAGCATGGCCATACAGAAAAGTGGGGACCCCATGCGAGCCCTCATTCCCCTAATCTTAGATTACCTCCTCAACCTCAAGCAGCAGGAGTTGTCCACCTCCTTAGTAAGGGTACACCTGGCAGCCATCACGGCCTTTCACCAAGGGAAAGGAGGGAGCTCCATCTTCACCCATGCCATCAGCAAGTGTTTTCTGAAGGTTTGGATAGGCTCTACCTCCAGATTAGGCAGCCCGTCCCACAGTGGGACCTAAACTTAGTGCTTTGAGGACTTACGCCAGCCCCTCCTTGAGCTGTTGGTTACATGTGTGCTCTCTCACACACACACATCCTGGAAGGTGGCTTTTTTGGTGGATATCACCTCAGAAGTCATCACCATCATCTGAGTTGCGGGCTCTTTCTTCCGAGCCACCGTACATGGTGTTTTCTAAGGATAAATTGACCGTATATCTGCACCCCTAAAGTAGTATCCCTTGTTCCATATGTCCCAGGAGATCTTTCCTGCCGGTTTTCTATCCAAAGCCGGCACTACAGACACTAGATGTTAGGAGGGCTCTAGCCTTTTATTTAGAAAGAACAAGACAGTTTCGTAGGTCTACTCAGCTCTTTTGTCTCGATAGCAGACAAAACAAAGGGCCTCTCAGTGTCAGCTCAGTGCCTGTCCTCATGGATCGTGGCATATATCAGGGTGTGTTATGACCTAAAGAGGAGATCGGTCCCGCCTCTTACAGCCCACTCTACCAGGGCCCAGGCCTTCTCAACGACATTTTTGGCGCAGGTGCCGATCTTAGACATTTGAAGAGTGGCCATATGGTTGTCGGTCCATACTTTTACTAACCATTATGCAACAGGCTAGACAGGATGCAGCTGTTGGCAGAGCAGTGTTGCAGTCTGTTTCCTCTTAGGTGATTCCCAAGCAATACCCGTGGAGGCGGGGTCAGAATCCTAAGTGGAATGGACACGAGCAAGCACTTGAAAAAGAAAAAACGGTTACTTATCTCGTAACTGTTGTTCTTTGAGCTTTATTGCTTATGTCCATTCCAATCCTGTCCATCTCCCCTTGGTCGGAATGTCTGGCAAGGAGGAACTGAGGGCATGAGAGGCCAGTAGGGGATTGCACTGTTATACATGGGAATGGGCTCCCTGGCTGGCTGAACAGGTACTGCTAAGGGTAAAAAGCTTTCAGAACCTGTGCTCAGGGGGTGCACACACCTTAGTGGAATGTACATAAAAAACACATCTTGAAGAACAGTTACTAGGTAAAGTAACCGTTTTTTTCTAATTTGCCTTTACTTTGGGTTTACATTTTGAAGCTTTCTCCACAGCTACAGGCCTAGGAACTTACTTTACAAAACACCAACAACGTTGAAACCACCCCATATTTACTTGACTCCAGGTTGTGGGGCTTTTAAGGAAATCAGTGTAATAAGAAATACAAAAAGCACTAGCAGTGCTGACCCTGTTGCTGGGATAGGGCTGCCAGGAAGTGGAAGATGCTGTCCGGAATGCAAGGGAGCATGCTGCTAGGGGGTGTGGCTAGAGCTGCTCCTGGGGCAGGGTTTGCGTTGAAACCACCCCATATTTACTTGACTCCAGGTTGTGGGGCTTTTAAGGAAATCAGTGTAATAAGAAATACAAAAAGCACTAGCAGTGCTGACCCTGTTGCTGGGATAGGGCTGCCAGGAAGTGGAAGATGCTGTCCGGAATGCAAGGGAGCATGCTGCTAGGGGGTGTGGCTAGAGCTGCTCCTGGGGCAGGGTTTGCAGTACAATGGGAATGGGGGGGCTGCCACCAGGCGCGGAGGGTGCACAAGCGTGGGGTGCGGAGTCCAAGGGGAATGGGGGAGTGCACAGGGGCGCGGGATCTGCGCGGCCCTGCCTAAGTTTCGGCTTCCGGGCGGCGCTCCCCCGCCCCAGCCGC